GGCAGCCGAGGTGTACCCGCTGCCACGCACTTCAGAGGCGTCAACACTATCAAGAGAACGCGCGTGCGGCCAAGTATGTAAAGGGCTTCCATACCCTATCTCTCCACGTCTTCATTGTCAGTTCATGAATACACAAAGTAGGGCGTTAGCGAACCTTCCCACCGGACGGCCACCAAACCCAATCATTAGCAAAGCGGTACTCATTAGGATTGTTTGAAATACAGCAAATCTTGCCTCGGACAAACACAAAATATCTTCAAAACAAAACGATACCCGAAACAAGTTAAAAATGTTGGTCGACGCGGTCGGCGTTTAGAGGTTATGTTCGTTGCGGGGTACGTACGTACGCAAAAAATAATCGCAAGCGTAAAAACAGCGGATCGATAACGCCTGGAAAAGGACACGGCCCTACCCCTACCAAATAACGAAAACCTTTTAAGTCGGCACGTAAAGGAATTTAGAAGATTCACAGAGATAAGCAGATATGCATCATCCATAATTTACAGTCGTGTGACTGAAACTGTTACTTTTTAAACAGTTATGTGAGAACACATTCAGAGTTAATTCAAACGTGTGAACTATTGCCATTCTACGACATATTACGCAAAATGCATATGTCAATCTACTAATCTGCTGATCCTGACACAGCCCCAAAGCAAATCCTAGCTGGACTTTCTTTTTGACAGTGCCTTGCAAAAGCGTCTGCTGTGTTTGCACAAGCAGCCTCCTCCAGTGCGCAGAGTGTACTCCGCCCCAACCGACAATTTCATGGAGGTTATGTCAGCCATGTAAACAGTGGCCTAGGCAGCAGGAACGGCCCCTTCCTCTCCAGCACTGCAGCCATTATCATAATCACCACGGCTGGGGCTGGGAGGGGGCGGCCCCCGCCCCGGGCCCGGGCCACCCAGCTGATCAGAAGTCACCCCGCGGTCAGGGGTGAACGCCGCGCCGACCGCGATCGAGCGTTCAGCGTTCGAACCCAAAATTGGGCGCGGTGACTTTGGCCCTGAACCAAAGGCACGGGGCGGCCAGGGGTGCCCCGCCCCCGGGAGGTAAAGCCTCCACCCTCCCCGAGCCCCGGCTAGCCCCGGCGCAGCCAGGCGGGGGCGACCCAGCTTCAACGGAATCGACGTTTGGATGGCTTACACTAAGTTGTGTGGGTGGCGCGGCCGGAGGGCCATGAGCGGGATGAAGAGCAGGCCGGTGACGGTGATGCCCAGGTACCAGAACGTGAGCTTGGCGTAGTAGCGCACAGTCCTGCTGAGGGCGAACACCAAGGGCACGGCGATGCCCAGGCCCACGCCGGCGTACAGCAGGATCGCCATCTTCGTTGCTTTACAGCCGACTCCCTGATCCGGCCTCTGACAGGCCGAGCCTGGCGCGGCTGGCGGCGCCCCTGATCAATATATCGGCGCGCCTCTGTCTCCTGAGCTCTCCGGGCCTCAGCTGCGTCCTGTCTGGGCCTCGACCATAGCCCCTCCACGACGGGGTGTTCACGGGATTCACTTCACTCTATAACGTGTACCGCACCGCGGGGTGTGCGTGCGACGCGTCCAAGTCGAAGGCAGGCTTGTCGTGGACTGCCAGCCGTGCCGTGCTGCCTTGGCCGTGCCGAAGCCGAGCCCGAGCCGAGAGCCGAGCCAGCGCCAGCTGTGCCCGTCCCGCCCGCCAGGCGGCGAGCCCGAGCAGTCAGCCCCAGCTCGGCTCGGCTCGGCCGCGCTCCTTTCGGCATGGTTCGGCTTGACTCGGCATCGCACTGCGCACAAAACTGCGACTTGTGACTTGTGCGTCGGTTTCGTACCAAGTACTATAAGTATAGTAACTCGCTTTCCCCTTGACACACGTCCGGTCCATGCTTTGTTCTCCGTTTGTAAATTGCTGAATTTGTGAATTTGAAAGTCTGAACTGAGCAAAGTTACCATCCTTGTCCCGGGCTAATGTGATGTGGCTCACACCGTTCTGACTCGTCTCTCGTAACGCATTCCACTCACGCGTGTCACACTCGTCACCCATAAAAAGAACTCCAAAGTCACGTGCCGCGGAGTGGATCTCAATGATGTACTAAAGATCCCAATTTAGCATTATTGTTTGAAAAATAATTTGCACTTTCCCATGACAAGCACTTAACTCCATTTTCGTTATGCACATGGTGTTAGATATAGAGACGCGAAGTGGACAGATTCCTATCGAATTGTGGAATGACTAAACAAGGTCTGATTACAATATCTATGAGAACGGAGGAGGTGGTCCGTCATGCACGAGTCGCGAGGGAGGGTCGTGGTCGTGAGTCATCGCTTCAGGTTTGTATCAGTTTGTATCAACTTACGCCTACCGCCTTTCATGTACGCCACCACCACGCCATCACTGCATTCTTTGATCGTTGGCCACAATATTTCCCACCGTTCAGATATTGAAAAAATATCACGTAGCATAAGATAAATCAGAAATTTCTTTTTAATTTCCAGATTTTCTTCTTCTCCATTGTCATGTAAAAACCACAGATGCATATTTTTTTTATGTGTGACAGTGGTACTTGCAAGATGGCCTCGGGTCTGTTTTCATTCATAGCGAGAAGGCTGGAAAATAAATCGATATCAATGACTTTTGTTGAGAGGTCCTTGTTGTTCTTTCATAGAAAAGAATAGAAGAAATAGAAATTTAGATTTTTTTAACTGTTATCAATTGACGTGATAACCTGTCTCAATTTATAGTGAAGTTGTTTATTTAGTTTATTCTATGAGCTCTAAAGACGAAAGTTCGAGATCGGGCGGCGACGAATCTCCAAGGTGAGTTTTGTCATTATTATGATGCCCAGGTCCGTAAAGCATTTGTTCGTCCCTTTTCCTGTGAGATTTTTGCTTGAGAGCGAATGCTGCAGCTTCTTTTCCCTATCCTGTTCACTTTCAATCAGAATAAATGTGCTGACAAATCATTTTTAATGCTGGTGCAGTCGCTACATCATCCTGCCAGTAATGTCAATATAACCTAAATAATGTTTCTTCTACTCTTCTGTCGTACTATTGTTGTTTGATTCGTAGAATAATTTTTATGCGTTCCATTCTCTTTTACCTTGTTGCCTCAAGATTTGTCATATAAAAATTATAGCACTTAACATATTTATTGTGAAAACGTCTTTCCGCATTTCTTTGTTTACATTTTGCAGTCAATGATCATTTTATTTGGAAGGTCAAAACACCTGGCTCACTTTTATACCTTGATACATTATGGTACCATTTCCATCAATTCTCAATTTTAATTGTAGTTATTTATTTATGTTGTGCAATATTTGTCTCAAGCAAAGGAAACAATCTTGTGGAGTTGTCACTGTCACTGTCAATGACAATATTCTTTCTTGTTTCACAGTACTTCTGGTCTTCAGTCGTCTTATGGGACACAGCCTTCGAACAAGTCAGTGTCTTTCACTGAGGAATCTGACACAATGAAACGTGCTGCAGCCAAGAAACTAATAGAAAGATATTTCTATCAATTACTTGATGGTTGCGGAAATCCCAACTGTGATAATGTGCATTGTGCATCAAGTGGAAAGGTGAGTATCTTAGATTGGTACTTGTTGTCAATATTTTTAGTTTCTAAAATTGTTTTAAATATATTTTAATGATATAAAATTGTTGTTGAACAGGCTAAAGTGTTGACTCCAAATCAAGCAGCGGCCCAAGCAATTCAGCTTTTTTCTCAAGAAGCCCAACTATGTGACACTCAGCCCTCCAAAGTTGCTCGAACATCTGAAAGTGATAGTGAGGCAGGCAGTCAAACAACTTCTAATGTGGATGACATTTCTCAATCTAGCACTTCTCATTCGATACCCTCAGCTATTCCTGGTCATTCTGGACTTTTGCAGTCTAAATTGTCAACACAACATGAAGGTTTGTCCACATAACTTTTGTTTATGCTGTTAGCGGCAAAGGTTTCAAAATTTAATCTGCATACTCATTATATTTGTCCTTGTCTTCTTACAGAAAAGCCAATACCCCACATTACAGAAGAAAAACTTCTCAAAATATTAGAAACATGTAAGAGAGAAAGCTCTTATTCTCTGCTCATTCGGACTCTAGGAGAAGTGTTTTCTAGTGCTGACTCTCTCTTTCACAGTTTTGTGAAGCGAATTCCGGAATCCCCTCTTGGTATGTACTGACAATTTTGAGAAGTCTTTCGACTTGGTCTCAAAACCAATACAGTAGTCTATTTTTAACATATTTTTGTTTTTAAATGTTGTTCTGTTTTTGGTTATTTTAGAGGCTCTTCTAGATAAAGCTCCACCCGGTGACCTTCGCCTTTTGAAGAAGGAAGATGTCAGGACATTAGAAGGCGATCAGGATAAGGATGAAGACAGTCAAGAAGCAGCACTTCGTGAACATTGTGCACAGGCTGCTCTTGTTTTGGGCCATTGTTCAAGACCTGTCAGGGTTGACATTGGAATTTGGGATACGTATGTTGACCTCCCCTCTTTGAGGAGAGCATATGCAGCTCTCTTTGAGCAGGTTTGTTCTCCCAATCCAGCTTGTCCATAATTTAATTTCAGGTTTCTATTTATATCTAAATAACTTCCTTTTCTTTCAGGTACCTGGTACAACTCTAGAAAGTGTGCTTGTAAATGCTCTTACCACGTTAGCTGCAAGTATGGAAATTACTCGCCAGTTTGCCCCTGCAAGTATGTGTGAAGGTGCAAGACTGCATTGCTTTGTTATCATCTTAGAATTACCTGTTCTTGGCCAATCTGAATATCTTGAAGTGGCTCTCCCAGCAGTAAGTTGATTAATGCTTGCTTACCTATTTGTATCTGTTACGGTTGAAGTCCGTTAATCGGTTAATGTCGACATTAACCGATTAAAGTCGACTTTAGCCGGTTAGAGTCGACATTAACCGCGGCGGCCGGTTAGAACCGTCCGGGGGCCGGGCCGGGGGGCGGACTTTAGCCGGTTAATGTGGTCGATGTGGACATTTACCGGGGAGCAGCGGGTAATGTCGACGGTGGGGTGAGACGGCATCAATCCATTTCATGTATTCAATAATGGTCATCACATTGGAGTACGCCTAAAGCAATCGTGACTTTATTGGCAATGCGCGGGCGTGCGCTGTTGCATAGCATCCTGTATTGTTCAATGCTGTCCTGCACATAGGGACACAGGGAGCAGAAAAGGTCAAAATGATGTCAACTGAGCTCAAAATGACACCTTTGATGTATAATGACATTACTTGGACCTTTCTGTTCCCTGGGGCCTTGAGGTTGCGCTGCGCCTCGGTCAGAGTCAAGGCTTGCGGTCTAATCAGACAGTGCAAGACCGCCTAGTGCGTGGATACTCCATCATAAGACCTAGGAGTGGGCCGGGGACTTCCCTTTGTGCAGTACAGCATATAGCAAGGAACCTCTCACGGTACTTCCTAATAAAGTCATGGCTGCTTAAAGCGTACTCGATCAAAACTGAATACATAAAATGGATTTACAGTTGCCCTCTAACCCCACCGTTGATATAACCCACCACTCCCCAGTTAATGTCTACAAACGGACTTTAACCATAATATACCTACTCTGTGTAACAAAAAAAAAGAGATTTAAAAAAAGTAACGTTATATTCCTTTTACAGATTTGTAAAGAGGCAGTGAAGATGCCACTATATACCCAAGGTAGATTAGCCCGCATTTGGGCTAAGCACTGTAGAGGTCGCCTCAAAGAACTTTTGGTGTCTCTGCAACAACTTATAACCTTAAAAGTCATATCTGGCACATTTTCTCGTGATCATTCAGTCCAAGATGAAGATGCTATTGTAGCTCCAACAAAACTAATGAAGGTATGTATTATTAAATAACATTTTTTTTTTTTTTTTATATCAAAACATTATATAATTTTAGTTCTTGCAGTCTGCTTTGTCATCATGTTAAGATTGTATTGTATTTTGTGACAGATTCTATACTACGCCAACATCCTGGCTGGAGAACTTGACTCTGCTGACTTAAGGCGGGAAGATCCTGCTGCCCTTACTGATGATCCATTGCTTGGTGTTGGATTTTCAGGCAATAAAACTTCTCCTCTAGCTCAGTATGAAGACCCTCTAGCAAAGGAACTGCAGGTAGGCTTATATTTGTTATGTTCGTCTGTATTTTGGGCTTGCTGAATGTGTAACTTACCTGTAAGTATTTTTTATTTCTTTTTCAGATCAATGTTCTGGATAGTAGAAAACCTCTAATACCATTCACAGAATTTTACAATGAACCTCTTAGTGAAGCAGTTGAAATGGATAAAGACTTTGCACATTTCAAAAGTGAGAGTGATGCTGCTCACATGGCACATTCTCAGTGCCCAGTTGCCAAGTTCAGTTTTATGTGGTACTCATTTATCCTAACCCCAGCAACAAAAACTCTGGGGTTGTATTATGACAATAGAATCCGAATGTACAGTGAGAGGAGAATGAGCATATATCATTCAATGGTAGGGCAGCCCGTAAATCCATTCCTCAGATTAAAAGTTAGACGAGATCACATCATTGATGATGCACTGGTTGAGGTAAGCAAAATTTGATAACTGTTAGTGCCTGTTTAATCTTAGCATATTGCATGTACAACTAGAATGCATTGTTCATGTTTTAGCTGGAGATGGTAGCTATGGAGAACCCGAAAGATCTTAAAAAACAACTTGTTGTAGAGTTTGAAGGTGAACAAGGAATTGATGAAGGGGGTGTGTCCAAGGAATTTTTCCAACTGATTGTTGAGGAAATATTTAATCCTGACTATGGTAATATTTTTTTTTATTATTATTTTTTGATGTTATGACTTGATGGTTGTGTTGACTTACAATTGTAACTTTATTTCTCAACTCAGGTATGTTTACTTGGAATCAGGAAACACAGACTGTGTGGTTTAACCCAACTTCATTTGAAAGTGACGCGCAGTTTTCCCTAATTGGCGTTGTTCTTGGACTTGCTATCTATAACAATGTGATACTAGATGTTCACTTTCCTATGGTTGTTTACAAGAAACTAATGGGGAAAAGAGCCACATATTATGATTTAGAAGACTGGAATAATGTAAGTTTTATTTGACTATGGAAGTTTTGTTTCTCTATTTTTTTTTCTCTTAAAAATCTAATCTAATTATATTTCTATTTTTTCTGGGGTTTGTAGACTTTGTACAAAGGATTGACACAGCTGTTGGATTATGAAGGAGATGATATTGAGGAAACATTTTCTCAGACATTTAGAGTTTGCTATCAAGATGTTTTTGGCACAGTCTTGCATCATGACCTTAAGGAAGGAGGCGAACAAATACCTGTGAACAAAGCAAACCGAAGGGTACGTAATGTATTGATTAACTGAGCTGTGCTGATATTTTCTTTGACGTGAAGTGATTCCATTGTTTTTGATTGTTGTTGTTTTTTCTGTATTTTTAGGAATTTGTGGACCTTTATGCTGACTTTCTACTCAATAAATCGGTGGAGAAACAGTTTAGAGCTTTCCGTAGAGGATTCCAAATGGTCACAGATGAATCTCCCTTGCATTTATTGTTCAGACCTGAAGAAATTGAACAACTTGTGTGTGGTAGTAAGGTGAGGAATTTATGGTGTAGCAGATTTTCTCAGTCTACATTGACAGGATTAAGGCAAACTAAAATGTGCTATGCATGTTTGATCTTTCAGAACTTCGATTTCAATGAGCTGGAGGAAGCAACTGAATATGATGGTGGGTATACTGCCGCAACTACAATAATTCAGCAATTTTGGGAAATTGTTCATAGAATGCCATTGGAAAGCAAGAGGAAGTTACTGCAGTTTACCACTGGCAGTGACCGTGTCCCTGTCGGTGGTCTATCAAAGTTAAAACTAATCATATCTCGTAATGGTCCTGATTCAGATAGGTATGTGTTTCTTTATTGTGATTAAATCAAAATTCCATTTTGTATCTATTTTGTAATTCAATTACCTCATATTTTATTATCTTTTCCAGGTTACCAACTGCTCATACCTGTTTTAATGTGTTGCTTTTGCCAGAATATGAAAGCAAGGAGAAGTTAATGGATCGGTTGGAGAAGGCCATAAACTATTCTAAAGGATTTGGCATGTTGTGATATCAAGTAGATACATAAGTACTGACCTAACTGTGCTGCTCTGGCAATTTAATGTGTGATAAATTATCAGGAGATATCCAAGTCAAGGAAATCACCTTTAAACTGGAAGTTTCCTGTGTCATTTACTAGTGTATATGTTATGAAATGTAATGACAGAACGTCAACTTTGAGGAGCTGTATTAAGTAATTGATTGCTATGTATATGAAAACATGTGCTCCTGGGTGAGTGCATCTGTGTGGCATATTAGTCCTCTATTTTATCTCATTTGCCATAAACCATACCAAATTGAGTACATACATATACCTTTTTGACTTGTTTTGCTGTGCGCTTGAAATACTGTATTTTATCCTCTTCTGTCTACTTTTCTATTATTTCATTTTGGGTATTTTAATTTCTAATCTAATTCTTTAATTGGCTGAATCGGATTCTATTCAAGATCTCGTTAATCTGCACAGAATGTGGAGTATGCTCACAATCAATTTTAATTTTTTCCAGTTTGGTGAAGCCAATTACAAGATAGTTACATAAATGTATTTTGAAGACCATAGCATGTATGATTTTCTATTCAGACATTTTGAATACAGTGTCAGTGTTTGTGTCACCAGTCATATCTTGTAATTGCTTAGCATTTTGTTAACTGCAATAATATGCAGTGTCCAAGACTTTCATCAAATTACATTTCATTTTTATTCATGTTTCTGTAAACTGTATGAAGTCTGTAATCACTCATCAATCCTCTATCATCCATCTGGTATTGCTTTTATTATTTTTCAAATTACTGGTAAAGTCATATCTTTTTGTGATATTTGTCAGTTTTTCTTAATAAATTTTTGCTCAATCATTTATCATTTCAATGACTTAAGTACAAATTGATTTTGATATGCAAGTCATCTCAACTAAGACCAATTAATTTGTCTAAACTATCAGTTTGGAGAAGTTTGTGATGATTACAATCAGAATAAATTAAGGTACCTGTCACTATCTGGTTTCCATTCTTTTTGTGTGTAAATCATGTTATGTATGACTGATATTCTTTCACATCCACATACTTAAGTCCGATTCATAGTCAGTACACAATGTGCCAATCTGATTGATTTCATCTATGTATGCTTTAATGCTAAGCAGCAGGATGTCTGGCGGAACACTGCAATAAATTAAATAAGAGCTAAATAGCACTTACTCCTATTTCTTGAATTCTAGTTCAGATTAATTTGATCATATTCTTCCCCTAGTGGTTGCCAAAGTATGACCAACATTTATTATTTTTTCTACTCCAAATTTATTTTTGAGTTACTGTTTCAAACCATGCCAAAGTAATCCTCTCTCTCTCTCTCTCTCTCCTGTGTGTCTGTTGTTGTTCTTGCATTAGTCACAAAAAAATGAATGTTTTAGATTCGTCCTTGTACTATTGAGTGTTCTCTTCATCACTATTCACTAACCATGTTTATCCAAATAAACATACAGTTTTGCACTATGTAGGGTTCTTTTGTCAACTCTGCTTTTCAACAGTACTTGATGAAGATCGTCAGTCATACTTTATATTCAATATTGTACTTATTTGAGTTATCTAACAGTTTGTAACTGTGCCGACATTGTGAATTAATACCATGGCTTCCACTTGTTACATCTCCTTCTGCAAAAAATGCACAGTTCCCATTTTTGTACCACAGAAAAGCTTTGTAGATATGCCGAAATATAGAAGAGATCAAGCAATTTACATTTCGGTGCTGGTACTACGCCTCATTTTCCTACAACCTACAACAAACATTGGCTGACTGATAAAATCATCAAGGTCAAAAAAATGATCAGGTGTAATAATTTGTACAGCCACTTTTCCGTGATTGTTGTTTATTTACTTGTTTTTATCTTATTAATTTAGATAGTTTAAAGAAGTGGCAATAAACAAATTAGGAAGGTATATTTACAATAGCAATTTTAATAAAACTGCTCTTTAAAATTGAAAGTAACAACTTCAGTTGGTTTTGCATCCAGTCTTCAATCAGCTACCTCATGACAGAAGAAGTCAAAAACATTTTCAACGAAAAGAAAAGTCTGTTCTCCATCTATGCTAGTCTTTGATTTGCAGGATTATCTGGCGATTTCATCCAATCCTTGCGGAGAATTTGTTTAAGCTGCGACAATCGCAGAGTTGGATTTTCGTTTTTTATTCTTGGCATGTTAGCTTCTTCAAAAGCTGTAAATGCTGCTTTCATTCTCTTTTCAGGATGTTTATCAGTTTCAGAGTCCTTAACACTACAAACAAAAAGCAATATCTCTGTTAAAGAAAGAAGTATGCCTCCAATATTGACCAAAATAACTGTTCTAATCTTTACACACCTCAAAACAGAAATAGCTTCTTCAACAGTTCTTGCTTCCTCACCATCTACTACAAGTCGGTTGACATTTTCCACTAAAGGCTGAGAAATGTGAGTGTCTAACTCTGGTTTACTTGGCTGTGCAGCTTGAGCACGTTTTTCGGTCTCGATCTACAAATTCAAACAAATGTTTGATACATGCATCAGTACATTGACATGATCCAAACACATTTTTTTCCCGTGTTAGTGCAAAATGTACTTACCTGTATTTGTTGACGTGTGATTTTGCTAATTGGTTGCTTGCCAGTGGAAACTTTAATAGAATTTAGTTCCTCGTCCAGAAGCGCCTTAGCTTCAGCTTTCTTTTGTAATGCTTCAGCCTTCTTTTTCTCTTGTTCTTCCTGAAATTATTTGATTTGATTGTCATTCAATAATTTAAAACATGCAAGTTTGTGTATGGAGATGAAATGTCCTCTGTTCTCACAGTACCTTTCTTTGAGTCTTTCGGTTTATGAGTTTATCGTCATCCTTCCAATATGCATCATCTATGGCTTTCTGTTTCCGTGCTTCCTCATCCTTTTTCTTGTCTTCCTTACGAGCTTTTGCAGCAACAGCTTTGCTATTCTCACCTGCAAATTTCTTGGGCATTCTGATAGGACTTTTAAGAGTGGAGTTCCTGAACTGGAAATGAATTTTCTAACACCCTAAAAGCAAAGAGAGAACGATATTTTATTTCCATATTATAGAGTAATGTTAGGACACTTGGGAGTTCTGGTGCCATGTTTACAGAGAATGGTAGGTGCACATAACCTTTCAGAGAAGATATGAGACAAACAAAACTCACAGAAAAAATTGAAAACTTCATTCATTAAATACGAGGAATCAAATGCTAATTCAGAGGAGAATTGACAGATCAAATGACAGGGTGGAATTCGACATGACTCTTAGTTGAAGTGTCACACAAAGGGAATCATACATTCATGTGTGTCACTTCTGTATGTCAAGCCGTACGAAGAAGTCACTTCTACGGAAACTTACATCCGAAATAAACCAAGAGAACTCAGTGTTAGGAGCGCCGTAGACAATAGCAATGGGTTGCGACAAGTAAACCAAAGTTCACGTTTACTTTCTGCTCCTGAACATGAAAATACAAATGTCAAGTGCTGCCAATAACATCTGTGGGTGGACGTTGTTATCCGCACAACCAACCCTCGCTATACGCAGCTCGTGAAAAGGGGTAGCCCGCTTTTTCTAGTTCTAGGTTATAAGTTTATCTCACAATTTCTAACAATTCTATATATTTAACCGGCTTACTCTGATACTTTGCTTTTCCATTTTACAGAATAAGTAGATGTGATTGATTACTAAAATCAGTTGTTTCTGCGAGTAGACTGCTAGTGCTGTTAGACATAATTTCGGAAATGGTAATGTTTTGGATCTTGAAGAAAAATGAAAGTAACCATTAAAAGTAAGTTTTCTTAAGGAACAGTTTTCTTCCGCCGGGTTGGTTCCATCTTGTTGATCTATAACTTGTGTGGATGCCAAGGCACCAAAAATTAAACATTGTTGTATTTTAAGAATTAGGTTAAGTTCATCCTTATTGATTACCTTCAGATATACCTGATCTCCTGATATACCTGAACTCTACAAAAGAAAAGCACTAAACCCCTGTCTCAAATTCATCGTTGTGTTACAGGTTGGACAGGAGTTGCAACATGGCGATGGGTGGCAAATGATGACACTTGTGGTATTTGCCGTCTAGCCTTTGATGGGTGTTGCCCGGATTGCAAGCTACCTGGAGATGATTGTCCTTTAGGTAAGCCATTTCAAATGTGTAACATTTTTTTTTTTGTGATCCCTTTATTATGATTGATAGGAAAAAAACATCAGAACCATTATTTCCATTCAAAGAAGGTCCTCTATAATGTTATCATACTTTTTTTGTTCTAGTTTGGGGCCAATGCTCTCACTGCTTCCACATCCATTGTATTATGAAATGGTTGAACTCTCAACCGGTGCACCATCAATGTCCTATGTGCCGTCAAGAGTGGAAGTTTAAAGAATAAACTTGTAAGTAAGCAAGTATACATGTAACGGAGGGAAGATGTTTGCAATAGTCTATCAAGAATCCGCAACTCAAGGAGAGGCTAGGCTGCCTTGAAGTTGTGCCGTGACCCTGAATGACCCCACCTAAATCTCTAGCCGCCAGGTCGGGTGGTTGTGGTCGGAGCGGGTGCGTGCCGCGAGTGCCATCGCTGCTGCTGTTGCTGCTGCCGCCGCTGCAAAGCTGCAGGTGGCTGCGACCCAACGTCTCCGCATCTGATAGAGGTATGTGTAACGCTACCCCCGGCCCGGCTGCCCTGGCCTGCCCGGCTTTGGTCTGTGGTGACGTTATGTAACGGCCGGGCCGGGCTTGGCCGGGCCCGGGCCGGGGGGTCACATCCATGACCATGTCAGGTCCATGTCGGTACCGGGAGGAGCGTGCCGGTCGGGGGAGGGGGAGTGCTTATGATGAAAGTGCCCCTCCCCCTCCCAGGACCAACATCCGCTGTGCCTCGTAGTTATCGAGGTGCTCCTATTGGAAAATTGCAACGCAATTTTCGTTTATTTGTTTGACAACATTTGTCTCACTTTAGTATTTTTTTAGACGGTCCCCAAGTCTGCCTGTGCCAGAAGGGAACGTGCCCCCTCCCCCCTCGCTCTTTTTCCTTTATTTCTTTTCTTGCACCTTTACTTATGAAAGCTAAAGTCGTACGAGTGAATTTACCAATCGCCGACGTATGTAAAGTGTGCGCGCGAGCTCGTCGGGCGGGTCACCACCACCACCACCGCGGAGAGAAACGCCCTCGCAACGTCAAACGATTTATAGGGTATTTTTCTCCCCC